AAGTAAATGCCACCTTTCTACGTTCAAGGCAAAATGAAATTTCCAGCACGCTTTGCCTTGCCTCATTTTGATGAAAGCATGTATAACACTGCACCTACTTGTTTGATAGAGAGTAGTGTAAACACGAATTCTACTATAACTACACGAATTCCATTCGACAGAAATCGCCGAACGTACAGTGTGATGACGCATTTGTAGCTATACGCTTTGTGCATAAAAGCGCTGTCTGAGGTATATTTTCCCCTGGATTGATTGAACAAAATTATCATCTTGTATTATCTTTCATCAGTTGTGCATCTCCATTTCGTACTACTCATACGCCAACGTGCACAATACTTGCCTTAATATCATAGTTGAAGTAGTCAGTTATTTCGTTTTGCGGCTGATAAATATCCATCTTGATACCTGCACATACGTTTAAACATAGTTCATCACATTTTTAGCTTCTTCCATCCCACTCAGCACTTGCAGATGGTAGAAATATGAAAATCGAGGTCAGCTTTTGTCAGTGACCTAACTATTTCAAGTTGATCATCTACGGAGCGCCCGTGGGAAAAGCATTCGTTTGAACGTACGGCTGAATTCCGTAAATGGAATTTTGGTTGGTCGTGGATGGATTACTTTTCTTTCTGAGGCATCTGTTGTGCATCCCGCAACTATTAATTTGACAAATTCGTTTTCTCCACCACGTCATTCTACCAAATTTTGTTCCTTTTGTTCAACGTAAACGGATTTCTTCCCTTCACGACTTACTTTTGAAAAATATTAATCTCCGATTCGTGTAACTTCATTTCCTCTTGTGTCTTTTTTGTTCTCCAAACCCCATGCGACCTCAGTCCTGAGAACCACACCTTTGTCCCCATTCCGCCACTGACGCCGGGTTTCGGGACATACTCGTATAAAGGTGTTTGCACGTTAGCTCGCATCACAGAAAACGTAGTGACCATAAATCAACTTTTGTCCATTTTTTTAAGAACGTTTTCTGGCTTCTCCCGCTTCGGGGAACGCTAATCTTTTCTCTCTGTGAGACACTCGCTTTATTCACACTTTATCTGTTCTTTTCCGCCAAAGTGCCTGCACCTCCGCTTCGTTGGAGCCCTCTTACGTGCTTCGAGCTATCGGGGCGGAAGAAGATTTGGCTCATTCCAGCATCCGATTCGGAATAGGTCGGTTCACTACCGAGGAAGAGGTGGACTTCACAATCGATCAAGTGGTCATACATGTGGAGCGACTGCGCGAAATGAGGTGAGTAACTACCCACGTTGTACACCACGCCTTATCGATTTTTAGTGTTTTTTTGGAAAATTAATGACCGTATCATTACAATCAGCGATTGAAAGTGGAACCAAAAGCCTTGCACTTTAATTTCCAGGTTTTGCTTGTTGTTTTCCAGTCAACCGCTTTGTTAGTGAAAGCATGTGTGGGAGAGAGAAGTGCGTGGCTGAGAGAGTTAATCGGATGAAAATAACTTTGAAGACAAGATAACCTTTAATCTACATTAGTGGTCATTCCCATTAAGGTGTTAGAACCTGACGAGGTTTTATAACCAAACCGCACATGTGATGAATTGTTCACTGTGATCATCCTCTATCTCGAATAGTTGCACACAAACCATCAACTCACTTCAAAGGCACCCCAGTCCTGATATCCAGTGCAGCCTTAGAATTAAGTTTACTGCTCTGTATCAGTCGACTGATGTTTGTCATGGTTCAGTTTTCTCTTGAAGAAAGACATTGCTGCTATACCATAAAATTATTCGTGACCATATACCTCGAATATGTAAACGAAACCCGATAGGAGTGCTTTTGATCTAGACCAAATTACTGATGTAGGTGCTCCTTGTATTCCAATTATTACCAGTGGTTGGGAATCGTTCTCATTGGAACTTAAGACGCACGTAAATGAAGACAAACGGATAGTTTCGAATGAATACTGGATCCGCTTTGTAAGCAAGCCTATAAATCATTATGGTTCAGTCATCACCAAACATTCCATCGTCCAGATGTGCGGTGCACAGGTCACAGCGAAATGAAAACATGTGGCCCTTAAACATTCTTCTTTTCAGCACCTTACACAGAGATGGATGCCACAAATTAGCTGTTGTTTACTATTGCAAACGATTGAGGATTTGTTATCTATTCGAATCATCAAACCAGAGCATTAAGTTAGCATGGTCGGCCTTACATCGAGCATTCAATATTTCCATCTAGCCTCCAAGAAAGCTGTTCAGTACACGGAATCTAGGTATTTATTCAGTCAGGTCATTTTTTCTATATGTGGTTGATGGTTCTGGAACCCAGAGCTTCGCTGTCGCCCTACTCAATATCACATCTATGCTAATGGGGCCTCTTGTGGTTCGCCAGTCCAAGTCTCGGGGCTAAGTATGCCGTTTACCATGAATAAACAGTGGTTCATCGGCACTATTCGATTCACCCCTTCTGCATTCACCGCACAATAGTCTGTTACAAAAAATATGTGCGTAAATATCCGAAGGAGCTTGTAATTCCGTGAGAGTGTAGTACAGTTACACAAACTGAGATGAAGTTCATCTGATCAGAACCGTCATGTTTTATCAATACGTAAATATCTGGTCGCTCAGTGTCAAATAAGTCGAATTTAATTGCCAGGCCTTGTATCGCAGATGTTGCACTTTCAACATAAGTTTTGGCAGATACTTTAAATTTCATGTATCTGGCAATGAATGATGTTCTTCTAGGCCTGAAACCTGGAATTTAGTGGCAGTGTCTACTCTTGCGCGTCCTTGTTGATTGTTACACCACAACTGCGGTGTAGCAGTAAATTATTGAATTGATTTTCGGTTTCATTTCGTCCAATCGCCATTTCGATGTTGTGTCTTGTTCTGAACTCCGTGATTTCGACTCCTCACAGCGGGTTTACAATATTTGACAACATAAAGCTTGGCTAATTGCATGGTATGCAACCCGACACACGTTTAAGACCAAACCGATCTAGAATCATTCAGGAATTCTTATCCGAAATCTCTGTACATAATGTCGATTTTCGTTTCTACCCTCGCAGCTAATCAGTAGTAAAGTGTTCTCGAGGGGTACCTGATCGATTAATGGTCCATTGCACCGTTTACCGGATGTTTTTCTGTTATCATTTCCGGTCGATCGTTCTTGTGACTCTCGTGGTCAACCGTAGATAGGTTAGCGACAAAACAAATATAGATGTTTTCACGCTCACAAAAGGTCAGCCTGTTGTTTGCTAATCTAAGTCGGCGGTGGCGCCGTCATGTCCCCAGTATTTAGTCAAGTGCACGTCGTGCCGGTTCATTTTGGTTTTAACGGTTTATCTTGGTATATATATATATGTGTGCTTATTATTTTTGATAAGTGGTCAGTTTCCACTGCAACTGTATTCATAGCTGGACATGGTTCTAATCGTATCTATGATCAGAAATTTTGCTAGAAGTTGGTATCTCAGTAATACAATACAGGCTTCACGCTGCTTCTCTGGTGTCCACTTCTCCCGAACTACATTCCGCTGAAATTGGTGCTGGTCAGGGGAAAAAAACAACCGGTTCACCATTCGTTGGAGAAGTGTTAACTGTGACCAATAATTCAGATCACGTGCTCCGTTTAATATAATGATATAAATTGTAGAGACTCGTCTGATTTGTAGTTGAAAGTATCCGGTGTCAGAAGCAGTGGCACTCATGTATCTCCATATGTTGGTTCTTCACTCGGCTTATTTTATGGGTAAAATAACCAGTGAGAAAGATAAATACCGCTATCAACGGGAGAGAAGTCGTTCCTTGGTCTGCAATCAAACTTGTCCATTTTGTATTTGAAAGACTGTCTAATTGAGAGTCACTCCGGAGTATAAACGGATGGTACAAATATCTACCAGTCTTGCTACAATAAATTGTCATCAATTTTTGGAAAAATATTTCACAATCTCTATCAAGTTATGGGATCGATGGTGAAGTCTGACAACCAGTACAGTGGAAAAGTCAGTCTCCGTTCAAAAGTATTGCACAACACCGTCTCTGATTATTTGGACATTTACCGCCCATGCCTGTTTACCACTTTCTTCCATACCGAATTGACTTTTGAATACGGTTGAAAGAAACTGCACCATCGGTTCATGAATTTCCGTACGACTGTGACGAAAATAGCGAAACTATTACCCCTAGTTTGTTCTTATCAATTATATCCGTTTGTGGACAAAGCCCAAATGTTCGCGGTGATTTCGGCTGCTTGTTTGGCACACTTCCGCATACGATTGTAAAAACTTGATTGTGACGATGTGTTCTGTATTCCCTTTCTCTCTCTCTGAGCACTAGTCAGAGACGTAGACGTCTCAGACGATCAATAGCACATTGCTTATTATTGCATGTATGGCGATGCCGTTTTGACGGTCCCCACCGTTTTTCATCGTGATTGTCAACACGTTAGTTCGGCCTTAAATATTAGCCAGCGTAATGTGCTTTCGTAAAGGTGATAGGTGTATACACACGCGCTGTTATTATACTTGAACTTCCGAATTACGGCTAATAAAACGCATATCAACCAAAACTAAGGTTGTCTACCTGAGTTCCTGTTACAGAAACAAGTGAAAACATGCTTTTAGCTATCGGTCCTATTCAAACCGACTTGTATTGAAAGTAGTTACGGGAGATCGACGTCTGTAATCTGGCACACAATCACTGATGCTCGGTCAGTGTTTTGTTTTTGGTGGTGGACTCTGACCACACACTGGTTTTGTTCCAAGTTGTCTGCGATTTACTTATTGAACAAAAAAGCGATGAAAACGGCTTGATAGTACCAAGTTTTCCGGCCCAGTTTTACTGGTCAACAATTAAAAGGAGTTAGCCGCAAGGCCAACTACCACTACCTTACCAGGGGATGTAGAACAACACACCGGGCAACCATCCAAAGCGCAACGCGCGCCGCCGGTTCACAAGGTTGTGATCTAACCTGATGAGCTGTTGGACGCTAAGTTTCCGCTGGCTCTCTCGAACTTCTTGACGCTTGTCGTGCAACCCCAGCAGACGGCGAGTATAATGAAAGCGCGTCTCATTGAAGAGCAAGCTCACAAAGCACCAAAAGCCTAGGTGACGCTACTTGAAAAGTGGCCGGAATGATCTGCCGTGTTTGGGGGGAGGGTACTCTGACGAAAGCAAACGGAGGTACTGTTCTGAGGTCAATCGAGTGAGCTCATTTAACCAATACCTAGCGGGGGGACGGTCGCAAAACGACACACTGGTTTCCTCGTGGCCGAGGGCTGGAATCACAACAGAGTGCTGCGAGTAGAGCACATATGCACACGCGCATGACCGCACAGAATAGCCAACGAAATAACCTATAAGGCTATATGATGCTGAGTCGCTGCCCCTTCTAGAGCACGGTTACTCATCACTACACGCAGGTAGCCCGATCGGTCGAGCGATTACGATGCCCATAAGCTGTAAGAACACTTATTTTCACGTTCCGATTTAGTTTGACTACAGTAGCATCACAACCGAATGCTTACCAGACGCAAAAGATAGGATAAGATCGCTGTAGACGCGTACGTTTGCGGTTTTTGGAATTAGGAGGGATGTGGGTGCCAGTTCTTGGGTAACAGAAGGTTCATATCTTATTTTGTGTGC